CTTTTGACCTTTGGTAACTTTATGGTATAGCAGTATAGCTGTTACATTTATTTCAATTTCAACATTTTTTGGAATGTAACGGAAAAGGGATGAGGGGGGGGGGGGGGGAGAACAAAGCATTTGATTAAATGCGAGATGCGTTAAAATAATCATTTATGATCAATAAAAAACTTCAAGAAATCAAACTCGGTTTCATTTTAAGGCGAAATAATGCGCCATAATAAAAAATGTGTGGTGGAATTCATATGTCCCCCTGCCGACGCCCTTGGTAACAACCCATATAATCGTTTAAAGAAATAATATATTTTATTCATAGTAATATATTTACTTAAAAGACACTTTAAGTAAAGCTGAAAATTTATAAAAAGAATCGTGCGAAGTGCAAATATTTTGCTCATAAAGTCCCTCAATGGTGAGAACAGATCGTAAGAAAGAGCCTTTAGATCATCTTTGGAAAATAAGGACTAAAACGAAATCAACCCGAAAGTATAACTGCGTTTTAAGAACTTTAAATAAGTTCTTAATATTCAGGGATACATAGTTTATAAGTTATAGTGATCAGACAAGAACAAAATGGATATTGATGAAAAATAAATAAATTTAAAAAAATTCCAAATTCCAAAAAAATCACCTTTTTTTGAACAGACTATATATGTATTATCTGAGTTGATAGTGATTGATCTGGACTAAGATTCGTCTCGACATGCTGTTCATTTACATACTCGTATATACCTATAGCGTATAGTCTACCATTCATCCATCTGAGTTCTACACACCAAAAACAATATATGTATACGTACCCCACTTTTCAAGCAAGGGTATATGATATGCCGCTCGTATAACATAACATGCATGCTTATGGCGCGATTTCTTAATCTTCTACTCACAGCGCCAGAAGTTTGTAACATTATATTATATTTGATTATTTCAATCAGCTTCAATCAGTCAAGCCATCAAATGCCGCATCTTTTTAGATTCCGACTCCAACCCAACAACAATAACAAAAAGAATTACATCAGCCGCCAAGTGGCAGACTTCATAACACACCCCCGTTTGATGTTTTTGAACAGTGGGCGAAAATTGCAACCCTTAACCCATCTTCCTTGCTTGGCTCTTGGCTCTTGGTGCTGGGCTGTTGCATAATTTTCCGTTGCTACAATCCACAAGTGTGTGTGTCCACTCGCGAATAACTATGTATGTAAGTATATATACTCGTTAGGTTACTCGCAATCGGCGCAGGCGCACTCGCAGTTTGTCCTCCTGTTTGACGCCCGACTGCTTGTTTGTTGGGCTGACTTGTTTTGGGGTTGTTGGGCAACGGCGGCTCTCACAGTTTTTGGCTTGAATGGCTAACGGTCTCAGCTACTTGTTGTGTGTCTCTGTGTTGGTAGTGTTGCTGGTGCTGCTACAACTATCTTGTTGAATCAAATCGGTAATAAAAACAGCAACTTATCGATTTGCCAAATCAAAATACCAAGTAACTAAGTGTAATTAACAGTTGTTGCTTTTGTTAAACAATGAAGCTCTATCAGGTGCCGTAACTTTATAGAGAAGCCTGTACAGGCAACACGCCACCAATTCCAACCCCTTGGCATTTCCGGTTGCCCCTGCATCCTGATGTGAGCAAAAAAAAAACTCGTCCTCATTGCTTTCAACTTCAGCGAACTAATCGACACCACCAAATGCGTCGGTGTTGGATTTGCTGTAGCCGTTTTGACCCGAAATCACGCACACTCGCTAGATGCTTGTAATTTACACCTATGTGTGAGTGTGTCTGTGTGTGTGTGTGTGTGTGATGCTCTCTGCGCTCACAGAATCAGAGCTCGTTGGCAACTGTGACGTGTGGACGGGAGCGGCAGAGAAACACGAAAGCTGCGAAAACTAAGCGATTGTGCTCTGGACAATCCTCAGGCAGCACAGCAGCTTAGTAGAAGGGAGTGGTACGTCAAAAACTGACGCACAGCCGCAGCGATTGTGCTTCAACAAGAGAAGTCCATAGTTTTTTAATCAAATATATTCTAGTAATAAAATACATACACGTACATATATCAAAATAAATGCAATAACAAACAACATAAAAGCAATTGAAAAGTGCAAGCAAATCAAACACCAATGCAATAAAATATAACTAAATATACTTATACAAAGAATAAAATAAAAAAAACAAAACAACAAGTGCAGCAAGCAGTAAGACAGCAAACAGCAAAACAAGGCAAACAACAAAAATCAGAGCGAGTACGAAGTTCATTTATTTTCCAGTGTTGCTTTATGCTTCCTTCCGCCTGCTTCCTAGTATATGAAATCAATGAAAAATTTCTGTTGCTAGCCGACAAAAGGAAGCGCGACTCGAAGGTAAACATGCAACAAAATAAAATGAAGAATTGAGTGCGGTGGGAGCTAAAGAAATGTATACACACATTAATATATTTAAATTGAAATGAAAACAGAAATGAATGATGCATTTGATAGTGCGGCAATAACGAAAGTCCTATGTGCTTCTCGACAAAAAAAAGTTGTGTTTCCTTTTTTAAATCTGAAATGAATGTTTAAATTATATTCTCACAAATGTCTAATTGTAGTCTGACAAATTTATATTATGAGCATTATTTGAGGCACAATTTGTTCGTTTATCAGTCGGTAGGAGTCCTTCCCGGGCTACTTGTATAGAAAGTGCTGTATGTGCAACAAAGTGACGTATACGCGGTCTAGATACATGTGCATGTGTTTCTATAAGGAGTGAGTGCGAGTGTGAGTTTGTACAGCCTGCAGTATACCTGCATCTGTGTATGCATGTATTTAGAAGTGTGTGGCAGGGCACTCGTTGCTGCATTTGGCGCTGTAAAGTGTGCTATGAAATTTCGCGTTTGTTATGTTGTTTATGTGCAAGCCTAAGACGAACGACAGCCGACAACCGACAACCGACAGCCGATAAGCGAAAGCCGAAGACGGCACAGTGAGGTAGGCTACGACAACAACCAACAGTTGACTTGACTATTTGTTGCATGTACGCCGCACTCGTCACTCGCTGCACTCCCACTTACGCTCATTCAAGCTCTAGCGCAAGCTCTTACTCGCTGCTCCCACTCGTGCCATATTCTCTCTCTCTCTCTCTCATTCCCATCCTCTCGCTGTCTGTCCATTTGCCTCTCTGGCGACGACCGACCGACCACATACACATGCGAATTCAATTCACAAAACATTCGACAAGTGCAGAGTGAAACAAGTTGTTGTTGCTGAACGACGAAAAAATTTTCCAATCAAGTGTTAAACACTAAAAAAATGAAGCAATTGCAGTGAAAACAAAATTTAATTGCTCTACAATGCCATTTGTGATAATTGCCAATGTGGAAGTGGGTGTGTTGAAGTGTGCCATAAAATAAAGACAGACAAAAAGCAAGGGCCAGAGGCTGAGGCTGAGGCCTGCATTCGTAGTCTGCATTTCCTAAACAACAGCAACGAGTGTATGCGCCATTTTTAAAAGTGGGATAGGGATAGATAGTTTGTGTGCTTGCGTGCGCTTTCCATTGGAAGCCCAACTTCCACGTTTAGTGTGGAACGGAAAGGCTGATTATTAAGCTTGCAAAAACAAACTAAACGCATGAATGCCAAATAACTACATATTTTGCACTATGTATGTACGCATTAATGAGTCATAATTATCTTCAAGTATTTACCAAAGGATTATAAGAAACCGCTCTTTCTTATAATCCGTAGCTATTTAAGAAAAAACGTGAATAGGAACCAGTTACGAACTTGTTTACAGTTCTAGCAGCGTACAATAGAAACTAAATTATGCAATTTGGGAGTCTCATACTAATAAAAACTAAAGCCATTCTGACAACAGAATCTTTTGCTTTTCAATGTTTGTTAAAGTCCATTACGTTGTGACATTTTGACTCTTATTGGAAAATAAATTTGATGCGTCGTTTTATTATCAGATGTCTGTTTTTGAAATGGATTCAGCAAACTGTATATGTAACAATTATGACTCGAATATCTACTTTTAAATACCTAAACATTCAAAATGTGGTACACCCATATGATAGAATGGTGAAAAGGAAGTAAACATTAGAGTTTATTTTACGAATGATCTTACTTTAAAATCTCTATATACCCGTATAATATATAAAAGTATAATTTAAAAAAGAATGTATCTGAAAAATGAAGTCTGTGTGAGCCGTTAAGGAAATTTTGTTGAGTCGAAATACATTTCCAAAAAATGTTTTCCTGAAAATTCGATACACTAACGGGGCAAAATCGAGGACAAGGCTTATATAAAAACCTTAAACAAGTAACAAAAGAAGTACAAGTAATAGTTTTAAACTTCTGCACCACTTCTTCTCAAAATTAAGTGCATTTTGCAGGAGCACTTATTGGCAGAGAGATAATAACAACTACCTGTGGGTCGCAAATAATGAGCATGGGTGAAAAAACTAAGAAAAAGTTCAATTTCTTTGTGGGCGAAGACTTTGTTGTAGATGGATAACTCGTGAAGAAACAGTGCGGGATTTCAAGTTAATGCCTTTCTTTAACTGAATACCCCACAATTACACAAATTAACATCAAATACCCAAAATATAGTTACTGAGGAGGGGCCGTAACACAGCTTAAAATGCTAAAAACGATGGTGCCCCCAATTTTCGCCCATAATTAAATTTAAAAATAGAGTATAACAATTTATATCATATTCATTATTATTTCATATCTAATATCTTGATTTTGTAAATGAATGCGCGAATTGGTTCTAAATCTAGACTAACCAAAAAATAAAATGCTCGTGCTGCTGGTTTTTAAAAATGGCGCGCTCAACTCTAGCATTCCGTTCTGGTTATATTTGGAATCCGAGGCACAACTATTAGCATAGTTTCGTATTTTGAGAGGATAGGAACCGCTTTGTTTTAAATTCTATTTTACAAATGATTGTGGCAAATAATTGCTGTGGCAAATAATAGAAATTTATTTCTCTTTTTACCAAGAACCTTGACAAATGCACAACAACGCAACAACGAAAGCAATACCTTAAATTCTGTGGAAAGAAATATATTTTTGGCAAGCAAACAAACGCAAGATAGTATGTACATAGTTATATAAGACACTGTAAATGTTATAGGAAAACGCAGCCAAGTGCTTCAGTGCTATCGATGATGTCCGCTCGCCGGCACACCGACACCTCAGCGCTACTCTCAAGGCAACTCAAGTCAAACTGAAGCATTTTACTGCAGCGACGCGGACGCAGACGCTGACGTCGATGTCAAAGAAGGTTGTGCTACATATTAAATACATAATAAAAATAATCATACAGCATAAAGATAAGCACCAAAAAAAAAAAAACAAGAACGTATATACTTGTATAGGCAACTCATAGAAAACTGGCAACTGGCGACAGGCAACAATGTCCGTGGATTTTATCCTGCCAAATCGCAACAAGATACAAACGATTGCCTATGCGAGCAAGAAATATGCGCCCAGCACCGACTTGCAAAGCTGGCGGCGCCCAAAGGCCAGGAATAATCAACAGACGCTGCGGAAATTAAAACCGCCCAGTGCCGAGAGCAAGTCCGTGCTTAAGAATGCCAACGGCAATGGCAGTAAATCCAGAACCGGCACTAAGGAGACCAAACGGTCTGCCAGGTCTGTAGTGAAGCGCGAGATAATTGTGCTCGAAGACGAGGACGATGATGATGATGACGAAGCTGATGATGATGACGATGAGCTGTGCGAGCACTTGGAGTGGTCCGCGGCCCAGTCATTGGTGCAAATGAACTCCAAACAGGAGAAACAGCGACGTATTGGCCGTCTGCTGTTGGACAATGTCGACCATTTAGCATCAGCACCGGCACCAGCAACAACAATAACACCAGCACCAGGTAAGTCTCAAAATATCAGTTAAGGATTACAAAAAAAAAACCAAATATTTCGATGAAAATCAATTCACAAAATTTCGGTGCCGCCATAGATAAAATAGATTTGAAAATTAAAATATGTACGATTTCCATATTAACGTCGCTTCAATCATTTAACATAAGTGAACGTAAGAACAATTTTTTTGAGTGAGTCTTATTAGGGAATTAGTTAAGCCTTCAGCATTTTCTCATTCTTTAGGTGCAAACGTGCACCTCAATAGATAAAGGATACAAAAATCTAAGGAGAAGGAGGCATAATAGACCAATGTCCAGTTGTCCTTCCGTTGGAACTTAAAATCATAAAATAATCAAAAAGTAGGGCCATTATTTTGAATATTTTAAGTTGCTGCTCTTATTGATAAAATTATGCATTTGAAGATTTATCAAAAATATATATGAAATATCAATCTTAGTACAAAATAAAAAAATAAATTTCTGTTTATTCTGAAATCCCAACTATATTTTGATGTTTTATCAAAATCGGTAAACTATAACATAAATCTGTTATAGGAATGGAAAATTTAACGCTGGGTTTTTTTTTTTTTTTTTTTTTTTTTTGGAAAGTATAAATTTACATATTGTTGGTGATTTATTGCAATCGGAGTAGAAAATTTTGAAAAAACGTTCAGAGGCTTACAAATGGTTGATATCGTGTTGTGTTATTATTACTATTAATTTTGTTAAATTTACCAACAAAGTATGCACGAAAGTCATGGACTCATATTTTTCCATGTTTAATAATTATTTTTCTTGTCTTACAATTTTTGACAACTCTCCAACCCAATTATTTTGCAAGCGTGCTCTAGAGTTTGCTATTTTAAAAAGTCTTCGCTTTGGACAAACATGTTGTTCCAAAACTTCTTATCCATAGCACTATCAAATCTTTTATTACCAGGTCTTATACTTGAATCCAGTTAGAAATTGTATGAGTTAATTATAGTAGAATACTAAGTATGTATTACTTATGTATGTACATACATACATACTTATTATATAGGTTGTATGCGAGTACATTCATAAGTAGCTTTTACGTATTGACACAGCAAGTCCGTCTCCTCCCTTCAATTTCCCAAACCTAAGTTTGTCACCAACTGTTGGGCAGCAATGTGAACAGGTGGCTGTGACAATTTGTGTATTTGTATTTGGTAGCCACGCTCCAAAGGCCGCCATGCCGTTTTATAGTCTTCGCCCTCCCCAGCCACATTCCAGCCACTCTGTCTATTGACGTGGGGAGGAGCAACAGTCGACGACCACAACTACAACTACAACAACAACTATGGCCATGGTCGTCATCATCATCCTTCGCTCTGCACGCACACACAACTACTTATGCATATGTGTGTGTGGTGTAAGTGCTTTTGTGTGTATGTGTGTGCACGCGTTTTTGACATTGTCGCCGTTAGCTAATCTTTTTAGCGTATGTTGACATTTTCATGTTTGCCCTCTTTTTGCTGCTCACTGCTTGTTGCTCGCCGCTTGCTGCTCTTGACAAAGCCAAAGAATGCAAACGACAAACGGCAAACAGCAAACACGAATACTTAGTCTCATTTGCTGTAAGAGGGAGGGGGAAGGAGCCATATTGATTGTCGGTCTAGGGAAAATAAACGTAACAGGTCAGTCGCAGTCTTTAGGCAAATAGATTTTAATTTACTTTACTTTACTGTGTGTGTAAGTGTTTGCTAATGTGTGTGGGGGGCAGTTCAGTGTTAAAAAATACCAAAGCGCAGATTGCCTGAATTCTCAATTGGCAGCACTAGCAATGCATACATATGTGTGTAAGCTTAAAAGAAAGCTCAGGGTTGTCAAATTGAATCGAAAATGGCGGATGAGGAAATTTGTGCAATATTATTGAATTGTTAGTATTTTTTTATAACGTATGTTCGGTATAGGCTTCTTAAAAACGCATAATTATTTATTTTGCAGTATCAATGCGCCGTCCACTTGCCGTTGGCCGTGCGCCCACAGAAGACGGTAAGGTAATCTTCTACGCACCGCCCGCAAATGGCAGCGCCAAGCAACCGGAACCTGTTGCCATCAAGCGGGAGCAACAAGTGCCGGCGACATTATCGCCATCTACATCGACTACCTCGCCACCAATGTCGATTTATCGCGGCCGCAGCGTCGAGGAGACAGAGGCAGCTCACGATCTGCTATCGCTCTCTCAGAGCTTGCCTCCGCTCATACCTCCTTGCGTGGTCACCATCATGAAGACAGAGATGGCACATAGGTCGGCTGGGGCCGAGCACTTGCCCATCATGCAGGAGATATCGAATGCTTCCAATAATAAGTCTACGATCCAATCACAGCCGCAGTCGCCGCCACAATATCAGAGCTCGAACATTCGCTTCATCGGCAGCAGTTCCTACGACATGATGCAGAGTGCGCCGGAGTCCTCCAACACCTGTTCGCCGCTCACACCGCCCAACTCGGACCACTCTTCGGACGTGGATATTGACATGTCCTCGTCCTCCGAATCCGGCCAATTGCCTTGGACCAGCAAGCATCACCAGCCGCAGCAACGCGCCTCTGCGCTCAAGCTGTGCCTCAACATGCTCGACGGACGCACAAAGGCCAGCAAGGCGGCCGCTGGCAAGGAGCAGCAGCGTCAAAAGAACAGCAACATTGGAAGCACAGCCTCAGGCAATGTCAGTAGTGGCAGTACTGGCGCCGATGGCTCCAGTGGAGAAAATTATGCCAAGCGCAAGCGGGGCTGCTATAAGTGCTCGGAGTGTGGAAAGCAATATGCCACATCCAGCAACCTGTCGCGCCACAAACAGACACACCGTTCTCTGGACTCGCAGTCGGCAAAAAAGTGCAACACCTGCGGAAAGGCGTACGTGAGCATGCCGGCTCTGGCGATGCATCTTCTAACGCACAAACTCTCGCACAGCTGCGACATATGCGGCAAGCTCTTCTCTCGTCCCTGGCTGCTACAAGGTCACTTGCGATCGCACACCGGCGAGAAGCCATACGCATGTTCTCACTGCGGCAAGGCGTTTGCCGATCGCTCCAATCTGCGTGCCCACATGCAGACCCACTCGGGCGACAAGAACTTTAAGTGCCATCATTGTAACAAGACCTTTGCCCTCAAATCCTATTTGAACAAGCACTTGGAGTCGGCTTGTCTACGGGATGTGGGCGCGATAATAACGGGCAAGAGTGGCGAGGACGGACACGAGGACGATGAGGACGATCTTAAGAACGATGGGCTGGACAGCAGTGATGAGAACAGTCAGGATATAGTGGTAGCTTAAATGTCTTATGTCCCTAGCCCATTCAAAACAACATATAACCTAAAGCAATACTCAAGCACCCTTATCGGATTATAAATCAGTCAAATAGCCGCTTATAGTTCTGAGCATGAACTGGAAGTGCAAGTCGATGAATTATTGGCAACATCAATCTTATCTAATTAGTATGACTAGTTTTAAAAATATTTTCGAACCTTTTCTGGGTTGGGCACAAGGGCGGTAAGATAAGAAGAAGAAAGAAAAGTAGAAAAGAAGAAAGCAACAACAACACTTTGGAAAATGAAACATTTTTATTAAATGATTGACAAAAACAAAAGGTTTATAAAATCCAAAACGTAACTTATAGTAAAAATCTGACACAACGAATATTATGGAACATAAGTAGAAATTCTATATATACACAGATCAAATAAGCATATATACAAAAAATTATATATATATACATACATATATATACATAAACTATATGAATAATACATAGCGAGCAGAACCAATTTGCATGTTTTTGGTAAATACTTTAAGGCGTCGTTTTAGGGCTCTAGAGTTTATATACAGATGATATACATACATACTACTTAGATGTATTATAGATCTCTGCACTTGATAGAAACTCCCCCAGAGGAGCTCGGGAGTTCTTGCATACCAGACGACTGTCGCGTCAGTTCGGTAAGTAACCACTTTAAGGTACTCGTAATCAATGCAGCATCTATGACAAAAAGCTCATTTTAAATCTTAGCAACTAATCAACTAGTGGACTTTATAGCACTTCCCGTATTTCTGTATTTCTCTCGCTCCTAGTCTTTTGAATACTTACTCGTTACACTACAAGAAACAAGAAACAACAAAGCAAAGAGTTCGTTCGGTAGGCCAACAAGATTAGAAATGGAAATTGAAAATAATCACTGAGGTGCCACAGGAGTCAGCCAGATGGTACACATTTTTAAACTGCAATGCAAACTTTACATTCTAACCCTACTTAGGATGAATAACTTCCATAAAATATGCTCTAAAACTCGATAAACAAAAAACTACTTCAATTACTTAGAAATGAATTAAATAAATGAGAATACAATTTAGAAACATATCACAAGGACAATACTTAAACATAAATACATTGAAATTAAAAACAAAACAAAAAATAATAATAAAAAACATAAAACAAAACAAAATGGAATCATAGGGCAAAATCAATTAAGATATACAACACACACTTTCATACACAATGTATTGGCGAGATAATTATTTTATTATCATATTTAAGTTGTGTAAATAAGTAGTATAACCAAGATTATAAAATAATTTTATACAAAGAAATCCCGAGACGTACATTTTTCTTCGGTTGTGCCGAAGTGTCTTATCCTGCGCAAAGGATCACGTAAAATGCCTCCTCCGTCATACAAGAACTAGCAGTAAATCACTTCAATCCAGCGCCTCTTTGCGCAGGATATGGAATATTATTGATAGTTAATGGGCAAATTTCAAAAGTGTTTGACCATGTGACACTCTTGTAAAACAAATGAAAACTAAAAGCAATTCCAAAATTAAGTGACATAGTTTTTAAAAATTTGTAACTCTATAAAATCGAAAAGTATTGATATATACACAAACATGTATTTATTTTACGTGTAGTTTTTATCCGTAAACCAAAACAAAACAAAAGAACAAAAAACCAAAAGCAACAAACAAACAAAACGTGTAAGAAGCAAATGATAAACAATTTAATTAAATTGTCAATTAAATTTATTTCTTAATTTAAGAATTGAAAAGCTGACGCTGATAGAGGTTATTTTTTAAAAGCATATATATTTAAAGAAACAAAAAGAAAATAAGGCAGTTTTATATCGAAATTAAACAAAGTAAGAACCTAATATGAAATGAAAGAAAATGAATCCACAAAAAATATTGAAAACCATTCGAACTTAATTATACAACGAGAAAAAAATTAATTATAAATTTCGGAGGTACATGGACAGGCACACAATTTTATAAGCAAATGTAATTATTATATCGTATATATACACCACATATATACATATACTTACATATATGTATGCAATATGCCGCATGCCGTATCTAATAGCAACCAGAAGAAATAATAATAATTGAGATTAGAGTTTAGACCACAGTGCTATGTGAAATTGTTTATAGGGCCATAGTTCGAATCGTGTTTATGCATGGCTTTATTGATGATTATTGATAGCGTTTTAAATAGCATTAAATGCCTAAATATAAATAAATTCCATTGAACCGTAGTGGTAACAATTATGTGATTTGCAATTTTACATTCAAAGTATATATAAAAGTAATTACGAATATATTGTATATTGAGGCAAGCGTTTAATATTAATTTAGGATTTATTTACACATTATACACCATAAAAAACCAAAACGAAAAACCGCAAATTAAAACAAAATATTTTTACACATACTCTTGGTTTAGTAACGACAAATTCAAAGTCCCAGCCCCCTCTCTATCTCTACAATACACATACTACACAGTACATAAATTTCTTGAGCCCCCTCCTTTGACTCACAACCTTGCTGCAAGTCATAAAAGATCATACACCCTCATCATATGACGCTAATAAGTTACAAATTAATGACACCAATTAAATTTTTATTATAGTATACAAAAGGATATATTTTACAAGTAAACAAAAAAAAAAAAACAAAACAAAAATAAGAAAACACTGAAAATAACGTAAAGATATTAATTTATATATTCATATATTAGAGATGCAAAAAGACTTGAACAGTAATATATACATTTAAATTTGCAATATATTGTATACTTAATTAAATATGTATAACTTATTTATATATATATATACATATATGTACGTACGTATAAACAAGCTTACAGAGAACCATAAACTCTTTTTCAAATAGCATGGTAAGAATCCCACACAGCAATCAGATACATATTACAAAATAAGTTTTTAAGACACAAATATCTTCAATGACTAAGGCATTTGCCATGCCGCTTAAGGAATGGTCACGAAGTTCATGATTTAGCAGGGAATATCGCAATGAATCCATATTGTTCTACTATTTTTGTTTATTTCACAATCTTTTGAAATTTTTGTTGTTGACACTCAAAATGAACAAGATTCAGAATATGTTGTTGGAACCCATCTAGAGAACCTTTACAAATGCCAGTAACTGGAATAGCAATGTCATTGTTACTTAAATAATTTTATTTCTTATTATTTGAACTCCCTAAGCGTATTTTCGGAGAAAACCATATTTTTCAGCAAAATCTTCTTTTAGCTTGATATACGTTTTTATAGTTTCTCAAAGTCTTTAACGATTTTCATAAATATGATTTGCCTGATCCTTAAAGGCATTTCAAAGCTGACCTTTTTTTTAGTTTGGACAAATATACATAGTAATCAGAGGGGCCAAATCCAGATTATGGGGTGGGTGCGAAATCAATTTCCACTCATTCATGTGAGATGCCCACAGCCAACCATTTTCTGTTGTTCATTTCTGGGGTGGACACCCTGATCAATTGCCATACAAAATTAAATATAGCTATCCAATATTTCATGGTTAACATCGAAGGAGTAGATTACCTCCCATAAATTAGAAATAGTGCCATACATTCCATTCATTTTCAAATATTTATGTATTATTACCTTTGATCTTCACATGACACGACAGAATGAAATGTTTGAAGTCTTTGGTTTTTAGTATCTTTCAAATATATTCCTATTCCGTAAACTTGACTTGCCCCTTGAATGTATTCAAATACCAATTGGTAGCGAGGCAGCACAAATATACTTATATATACTTATATACATACCTTAGGACATCATTGCCCGCCTTCTCGGGCATCCTTAGCATTTGTTCTTGTTCTGCAATTCATTTAGTTAGAAAATACCTTTCTCTTTAATGGGAATGAGCAATGAGCAACAGTTAAATCGTTTCAGCTTCGTAGGGCTTTAACAGAGATACCATAATATTAACACTTAAAGGTAAATATCTAGACGATACACACACAAACACATACACATACACACCCACACACAGTTGCGAATGCAAAAAAGGCTCTGCGCAAGTGGAAGCAAGGGAAATCCGCTTAACTCTACACGATAATTGCAATGGCCGCTATGAATTAAAACTCAGTCTATTCACAGTTACTCGTACATACTAAAGTACTTCGAACAACATACATACATACATACATACATACATAGTATATCGGTGGTATGAATCGTACATAAATACATATACACAAACATATGCGCAACATTTAAATACATAACCATACAATTTTATGGCAAATATGTAGAGTATATTACCTATTATATTCCCAAGCTTATCCATTCTTAAATTAACAAATATGAGACAAGCATCACAGAATCTATTATGAAAGTATTTAACAAGCAAAACTTAAAAACAAAAACAAAAACAACAAATATAAATTAGATATAGTTATAAAAGCTACACGTACACATTAGTGCAGCCATGTAACTATTTTTAGAGCCTCAAAAATAAAAATAAAATACATAACATATTAAATAAACAACAGCAAAATGAAGGCATTGATTATTTGGTCGGGAAAACAATGGAAACTTTTTGAATCGTAAGTGTACAGGTAAATATTTAAAAATGTAATTTCTTAATTCTTACCTCCGTATTCCAATAGAAACCAGGATAAAAAACACAAATGGCCAACAAAACCACACAATGAGGGAAAAAGAAAATAAACAAATGTGCTTGAATTCCAACTGAAGTATCACAGAGAAGTCTAGAGTTTTATCTTTTAATATTGCATTGTAATTTCTGTATAGTAGAACTATTGTTGAATTTATTTATTACAAACTGCTGATATTTGAGCTAATAGAAGGTGCCGGTAATAGATACTGAAGTAAGCATTTGACTAACATACTATACATTTTTAGGAACATTTTGGAAAAATAGTACCAGAACCTGATTAGTGGACAATATATAAATTCTCAACCCAATCAGTTTGTTGAACTTTCTTTTCTTTCTTTGGAGCACTTATTGTTATGAAAAGTGCGCAGTTGCTTTAACTCTATTTAAACGAAAGTAAACACAGGAGCTTAGTCAACAGCCCTCCTGGCAAGACTTAACTGACATAATCGAAATACAAGTACAAGTATGTAAGTGTGCTGATGGTGTGTGTTTGAATAAAATCGCTTGATTCGGCATAAACATATTTACTGTTGAATATTTGCTCAACAATTTGATTTGAAATCTTGCGCCCTTACATGTCGAATGAAATTGTATCAAGGACGCGCACAACGGAACAATCGAAGAGGGTAAACATAACCAGCACCTCCCTGACGCCCACACACACACACACACGCACACACACGCACACACAGACACATACTATGTTGCACACACGTTGCACAGACCCGCGTTACTAGCACATACTCATATGTATGTATACTATATGTACATCTCTACAGATGTCAGCAATTTCTCTATTTGAGTGCTCAACAAAAACGAAAGTGGGTAAACAATCCAAGCGAGATGGAAAAGAAAAAAGCGCAGAGGAGCGAACATAAATGCTAGAGCGCAAATGGCTTCTCTAACGACCCAATTAATTCGAAACAAAAAATGTTTGAATTTGAATCACCGGCAACTGTTTTATGGCCACAGAGCGGGAACGCCGCTAAATGCGTAACAACTGCCTCGATAGCAATGGCACCGGCAATGGCACTGGCAGCTGAGGCTGATGGGGCTGTTGGGGCTTCTGGTAATCGTTTGTACTAGTAAGGTTGCTGCAAAGCTTTTAATGCCTCATCCCAGAGCAGAGCTGAGCAGAGCTGAGCAGAGCAAAGATGAGCCATGCTCAAAAAAGTTCGCCGACAGCTTCATTACAGCCATCATCGCTACCATCTCGGTCTCCGTCTCCATCTCCCCATGAGTAATTTGCCAAGCAAAAGTTTATTGTTGTTGAAGCGGAGAGATGTTGAATATCTCGCGCTTCGCTTAGAATGGAAATGAGAACGCGGTATAAGATTTAAGCGCAACTGTGGATTGATCTATAGTCTTGAGTCGCGCATTAACACTTCAACATCATCACCAGCAGCAGCATCGCACGCAGCCCGATTTAACAAGATGCGGCCAGAAACCATGAATTCGTCAACGATCTCGAGAAGTGCCATCTTCGTGGTCATAATAATGTTTAATTTTTATATTTTGACAACTGGTGAGTGAAATCAATTGCAGTGTCAGCGCTTTAAATAATTTTCAAAACGCAATATTTATTGTAAGTACTTTTCTGACCATGTTAATTGTTGGACGAGTGTATGAACAAGAAACTGGTTTTTAAATTCCCATAGAGCATCAGCGGGCATGAGCGTAGAGGGTGCTGCTACGGGGGTTGGGCAGCGAGTCATTATATTATTTCAGCTTGTTAGTCATAATTAGAATTAAGCTTGCCTGGTCGTGCTTCAAGGCTTCCGGGTGTGTGTCGCGATTAGGCAAAATATCATATTATTAAACATATTATCAAACAAATATGAATTTAATTACATTTTATTTTTGTATTTAGCGGCGCCCATTCAAGAGCTGCCGCCTCGCAAAGGCCATGTGCCCGTCTACATACGAACGGGAGATGAGCCATTGGACCAAATACATCCTGGCCTGGCTGAAGCTTTCAAGGAAAGCAACGAGGGTCAGCTCAAGGCAGAGGTAAGTGAAAAGGCTAGACTCTGTTTAGCAACCATGTTTAAAACAAGCCCGAATCAAATAAAAAGTTGGGCAGAATTAGTCACATACCAATGGATAAATGCGATATTTGCAAGCTTGTTTACAAATACATAAGATGCTTACCATAATTACAAGCCACGTCAAAAATGTTTAATTATGTTTATAAATAAACGCGACAACAATTTCTGTTTAGTTCAGCATTGAAGCTTAATCTGAATTTCCTTCATGATCTATCGAGTTAATCTGTATGCCCATATATTATTTTTTTTTTGATGATTTATGCATATCTGGCTTTCTCTAAACATGGTTTTACTAAATCAAGCATTACTGACCTATATAGATACATGCATTTTAGAATTTAGTCATCGAAGCTCCCAAAACCGAGGAATCATCAATAGTGGAAGCATCCAATGAAAAACCCAATGGAGATGTGCAAGGAGATTTGCCAGCCACTGAAGAATTGCCAGCTAATTCAACGACTGAGTCCGACATTGTCAGTTTTGAACACTTCAAGTCTATCGGTGGCAAAAAATAAATAATTAATGCAGTTAAATAAATCGAATTAAAAGCATTAGTTTACTAATGAAACTCTTTGAATTTATGCAGAGTTATTCGATGGCTTGGGCCATTCTGGAATAGTCCCAAGCTCATTAACAGCGTCTTGTCGTATCTGAGCCAATTTGATTCCACGCCGTAAATTTCGCACATTCACAAAATGGCAGTCCCATGGTCTCAAATCGCCTTAGAGGTTTTTGTGTGCGGGTGCGGGTGCGGGTACGCGTAAGGGTGTGGGGTGGGAGAGTGTTTGTGATTTACTTGTTGTGGTTGGGCCCATTAGCAACGAAGACAACGAAGAAGAGCACTTGGCGGAAGCGAAAAGCTTGCGCCACAAACGTTTGTAATTAATATAATGGCGGTGGCAGCGGCAGCGGCAAAGTAAAATTCCAAAATGGCCTACACACACGTTGCGGTCCCGTTGCCATTTTGGGCACAAATTGTTGTTTCATTGTCTGCGGGCGAAGCTGTCTAACGAGCAATAAAACTAAATATATACGCATAAAGTTAATTATAAAGGGGCAACGGCATTCAGACGAAGGTCTCGACTATCTCGCATTGAATGCAATTGACGGATTAAGCCCAAGACAGGGCCGTGCCAAATCACCAAAAAACGAAATGCTAACTGAATGCAATCAAGACGGTATTAAAAGAATAGTAAAAACGCTTTTTATGGAGCTAAGCTTAAGCACTGCTCTTGAATTTAAATTTTTCCTTCGTTTGCTGCACTCAAAACATGTATGTGTTTGCGTTTGTGTGGCTTCCACATACCCACACATGCACACAAATACATTCATGCCGCGCTCACACACAGACCCACACTCAAAATTAAATTGGGATTCCAAAAAGAAAATATCATTCTGTGGCAAAAGTTTATTCAACCCCAAATTTGAACTGCAACTGCATCAAAAAAAGGAGTAATCTGAAAAAAAATTCAAATAGTTGAATTCATCATGCCAATAGTATACATAGAGGTTTTCGTAACTTTTTCAACATAAAAAATAGAATCAAATAGAAAAACCAAATCAATCAAAGGAATGCAATTTTTATATTGTTTAGAGAGACAGAGACCAGAAATTACTATATCCAATTTCTTATAAAGATCTATTTATTAGCTCAAACCAAAGGATGGTAGTGAATGAAAATATGAACTTAGATTCCGAAATTAATAATAATTACTGGTAATTAGGGGAGTACAAGTATTATTATTGAACGACATTTCTGTATCCACTCATAACGTTGTTGGCATATTTATTGAGAAGGCGAGGCTATTTATACTAACCATCGACATACAAGTAAAAACTCTTTAGTAATGTCCAAATAAACTGACTCTAAATTATGCTTCCAAAAGTATATTTCCAGCAGTTAAATCGTGGCATGGATAAATAGTAATAAATCATAAATAATTCACGCTTTGGTTTAGGTTTGGCTTAAAAATTATTTATTATTTTAAAAGTTGATGGTGAAGGCTGCTCTAGGAAATGGGGAATGTTGAAAGAACTGATAAGCCAAGCTAATTTAAAACCAGTTATTTTTTTCGTCGAGTGCAATCAAAGGCAAAAGGCTCAAGCAGAAACGAATCGTGCGCCATTCTCGTCCGTGTCCGTGTCCGTGTTCTTGTATCATTGTGTGCGTTCGAGCGCATTCAACCTCAAAATGAATAATTGCATATGCTTCAATGATTTGCGACTTTATTCGAAAGCGCTACAAGTTCTCTGGACTTTGTAGTTGTGCTCTGAGCTGGGCTCTTTAAGGTCTTTAAGGTTGAACAGTAGCACGTCTACTGGCCCTTTTAAAGCACTTGCTTTATTTTTATCTCGTTTGATACCTAAAATGAAGTTATTGGTTGGGCTAATTTGACAATGGCTCACTTAATTGCATTCCCCGATCCATTGAGCAATCCGGGCGCTTAAATAATAATTGAGTTAACGGTTATCGACGACAATCGTACTGTTACTGTTACTGTTACAGTACTCTTACAGTTACAGTCACCCAATCAAATGCCAAGGATTATTATGTGCCATAAAAAGCTGCGCCAATTGTCGACAATTAGCAGCAGAGCACTTGGCCCCCGATTACATGTTAGCCAACCTGAAGCAAAACGCTTGCAATCGCACGACCATTGCACTGCAAATATGTGAAAGTCTTTATTGGATAATGCGCACACATTTCAATTAAAGTTCTTCGACTATTTGCCGCCCAAAAGGTTGCCAAGTAAGCCGCCACCACCGCCGCCGCCTCCGCCACTGCCTCCTCCACCTCCACCGCCGCCCAGTAGACTACCACCAGATGTGACACCCGGTATGGAAATGAGATTGCCCAGGAGTGGGTTACCATTCAGATTCAACAGACAGCTGTTGGAGACGCATTATGTATGTAAATGTATGAGCTGAGAAGGTCCTGGCCCAGAACTTACCGTAGATCCAAGCGTATAAGTTGTTGGCAGGCCCACTCTTGCAGACACTGAAAGACAAGTGTAACATTTTTAAGGAAGTAATAAAAACGCGTTACGTTATCAAAGTCTCTGGGCTAACAGCAATCAATTAATTAGCTACTTTTTAACAGTATGGAATTTATCTATCTCTTTAGAAAGTATCTTATCATCAAGCACCGATTCAACCTTATTAGTTATTATAACAACAAGCTCCCTAATCTCTAATTTAATTCGAAATCTATATTTTAAAGTCTATATTTATAGCCAATGGCGTAGCTAACAATTCATAAAAGGGTGTCATGTTTATTTAACACCATAGTGCGTATAAGCGGGCTGTAAGAATAGATCTATCTTTAAAACAAATAATCTATATTGAAGTGATTGCTATCTAACTAATAAACATACTTGAATCATTAGACTAATAGTAGATGAGTTAAGAACCCTTGACTACGAACATCGCATCAAAAATTTAGTGTAAAAAAAAGAAGGTGAAGGCGCATGAATACTCTTGACACAGCCATTTCACTAAAATAAATATTGTGGTTCCAATCATTCCTATGTAAAGTATATGATATAGTGAAAAGATGTTAATGAAACCTATAAGCATTTTATAAATAGTAAAGATATTTTGGTGCTAAAATATATTTTAGAGCGATCGGTCATATGGCAACTAAATAAGGTGATGACCCTATACTCGTTCTACCTACGGATAATAGAAGTATCTACCATACCTGTTGAAAGAACAACATGCATGAACAACAACACATGGGATCTGCCACGGCTACTGCTATATATACTCGTATAGAATTAAATATAAAAAACTATACTACAGAAAAAAAACTACAGACTATAGTTCTTATTATATAAGGGTGAGAACTGGCAATCTACTTAGTCTTAACTGAAAAACTGCGACAGAAGAAGGCCATACACAAGAAGAAGACTATAACCGTAGCTTCTGGAAATATAGTATTATGCTTCCAATTACTGTTATTCAAGAATAAACTTTTAAGGGATGTCGTGATCCCTCCTATCAAATATATAAAAAGTTTAACTGCCGTACATCGGAATTTTAAAAAACACATGTACTGGACTTACTCTTAGGGTCTCTCCCGTCGGTCTTGGACATGTGCCCGATGGACCCCCTGGTTGGCCACCTGGTGTGCTAGGCGCCGGAACTGGCACTGGCACTGGCACGGGCACCGGAACTGGAAGGACTTTTACCGTTTTTTTTGTTTGTTGGGCACCGCGAGGTGGTTCCTATACACATGTGTACACCCAGACATTTGTTATTAAATAGCAGATCCAGTAAATGTTTTTCCGCATACACTTATACTCACATTATGCGCAACAACCTGCAATATATAGGAATACATGTAATTTTGAAAAACAGAGTGCCCATCGCGCTCATCCTAGGGCTAAGTGTGACTTACCAGTGCGAAAATTGCGAGAACGACAGTTAGTTTTAATAATTGTCGCATTGTGGGGCTATCAAGAAAACTGATTTCTGTTGCACTGTCGACTTGCGGCTTTTATAGCCCAATAATTGCAAGGAGGGGGCTTTTGGGCACACAGCTGTGCACCCTCTGCGAATAATGTATGTAGGCCTTTCAACTGTAAGTGGGTCATTAAACAATGGCAACGAGAACAAAAGTAAAACAAATTGCAGCTCTACCAACATACATAGCTTCGACACGATAATACTTAGTCCCTATGTAGGGCGCCATTGTGGCTTTCTGTAAATTGCTAATCACGTTCTTTGATTAAAGAACACGATGTACGGATATTTTATAGTAAGTATTTGTATTTTTGTGTTTTATTTAATAATCGTAAATACTTAGTACATCATGCAAACCTTTTATACTTAAATTGGTAGGTTGATTTCATTACATTTGAATTCTTTTCAATTACAATACATAATTTAATAATAATAATAATCATCATAATAAAGTGTAATTCATCTATAATATTGTATGTATGTACGTCTATAAATTGTTGTATACGAGTAACATGTATTTATTTCTGTGGCTATTGGTTATGATGAATTGTTCGCAAACGAAAAAACCGCTAAACCGCAATTCTAATTGTACATTAAAGTGGTCTGATCTATTGATGCTTTGCATTTGAACCGAGTTGGCTACCATAAGAGACAAAGAATACATCATGTATTTAAAGAACAATCTTCAATTTTCGCACTGCCTACTGCAGCTACAGTTTCTTGCAACTACTTAACGAAATTTATGGGCTTTTCAGGCGCATTGCATCTTCTTGCAATTACAGAGCCACTTGATGATGCGTGCATTGCGCTCCACAATAGACGGTGGCTCCGACGGTCGATACGGCTGCGTGGTCTGTGGCTGGGTCTCAGTGCTGTCCGGCAAACGCATCGAGTCGACGGTGCTCACGTCCGAGAAGAAAACGGTGCTCGAGTCATCTGAATCGTTTTCGGTGCTGCGAGTACGCCGCGGTTGGCTGTAGATCTCGTGGAAGGCCTCATCGTTGAGACCCAGCCGATCGAAGAACTTCTCCAGCTCCGAGATGCTCGCATTGAGTGCCTCACGTTCAACATCCATGGCGTGGTCACTTGTGTGCGCACTTAGAGGCACATGTGACTGCGACGGTGTGGTCGTTGTGTAACCATCTGTCGCGAAACCTTTGGGAAAGAACACATTTTCATGCTCCGTGGAGCGCTTGTAGCCAGCACTGGCGGCTGTCCCAGCCGAGCCCCCCATGCAGTCCACGTTATTGATGGGCGAAGTGCGCGGCTGGGCAGGCAAACGATTGCGATTTTTGAAGCGTATGCAGCGCTGCCGCTTAAACTGTATAGGCGGCGGACTAATGTCATCCACAGACGGTGCTGAGCCGGGACTCTGCACCAGCGAGCTTTGCGAGTGATTAATGCTCGTGTAGCCCTGCGAGCTGGTGTGCAACTGCTGGCTGGAGGAGCTTGAGTAGCGCGGCGTTTGTGTCTTCAGTCTGGGCGACGGTGACGGCGGCGTCGGCGTATAATCATCCTGGAAAGCCTCCGGCACCTCCGGCGTGGGCGTAAAATTGAGCAAATAGTCGGCAGCGGCATTGCTGTCATAGCCCATGGGTCCCGGATCCGGCTTGCAGCGACAATCAAGACAGTCGGCATTGCGAATATGCAGCGGCGGATAATCGGCGGGCGTAACATAGCCACAATATGAATTGGCACTGTGCTGCGTAGAGGAGCCGCTGTCACGTCTCGTGGCTGCCACCAAGTTGCAGCAATTCTTGATGGTACTGCTGGCATTCGGATCACGTTCGATCACCTCCCGCTGACGCTTGTAGCACGGCTCACTGCGATGCGTGTAGTGTCCGGAGCTGCCGCCGGAGTCGCGATTGATTGAGGACTCGCCGGCCGATTTGATGGAACGATTACCGCGGCTACAACAGCTTAAGATCTCGCTGTGCGGCGAATGGCGACTGATCTGGGTGTGCAAGTCGGGCAGAGACTTGTGGCTATTGATGTTGTAGTCGCCGCCAGTGTAGGGTGCACGCTCATCAGTGTCGGCCACTTCGTGGGAATGCGAATAGGAGCGCTGATAATTGTATCTGTGGAGATCCAATGTGTCGATTAATTCGGATTAAATACTATGTAATTATATATTTATTGGTATCAGTCATGTTTCACACAATTTTGATCAACATATTCAAAATAAAGAGCGTCCACAGTAGGGAATATGCAATGTTTGCAGTTCTCTGTTTTGCGTCCTTTTCACTGCCAGACCAAAGAAATTTGGTATGTTTTTGAAAAACATAAGCAAAAATTAACATATTTTATTAAAAATCACTAAAAATTTGTTCAAACTTCAAATTATCACGAGCAGGATGCTTGGATTTGTTTGAAAGATTGAGATACAATACGGAACTGCGCAAAAAGTAGAACTAATTAAAACAAGAGAGAACGCTACAGTCGAGCAAGCCCGACAGTGAAATACCCTGTACCCAGACAAACAACCGTCACTGAGTTATATGCGCCCATAGCAGAAGCAAAAATAGGAAGAAGAACGAACTTATTGCTGCAGTTTGGGGGGATTATACTGTAGAGAACTTGTTTCGCTAATAACTTTTCTTAGAATTAACCGATTTAGATGAAATTGAAACAAAAGTAGATTATTATGTATAGATTATGTGTGCAAAGTTGGGTTAATGTAGCTTTTGAAATGTGGACGGTATTGACGAAATTCTGTAGCGGGCGAAGGGGGGAAAACTTTGGTTATTCTAGCTTTTATAGTTTCTGAGATCCTTGCGTTCATCCAGACAGACAGACGGACGGACGGACATGTCTAGATTGATTTCTCTCGGCATGCTGATTCAGAATATATATACTTCATGGGGTCGGAGCTGCTTCCTTCTGCATGTTACATACTTTGCACCAACCTAATATACCCTTTTTACCATACGGGTACAGGGTATAAAAACGAAACCAATCTGATTATATTTACATTACAAGCCTAATTTTCTCAAACATGTTCATCAATTGAATGATGTAGTTTTTCTTTCTTCCTTTTTTCTTGTTGAGCGACCAACATAAGCAGCTTTTATTCTGCCGATTGTGAATCTAGAAAACCCGCAACCATAATTGAAAACATTGTGTATTTAATTATGGTCGGACCATGGTCTAAGTTGATTTTCAAAGTAGCATGAATATTCCAGAAACGTACCTATAACGCTCATTGTGCGGTTGACCCGATTTGGCTGCGTACTCTGCCGGCGGACTGATTGGTCTATAGTTCTCCGTCAGCACGAGCGGCTCTTCGCCTCCACTGTTCGGCTCGCTGGGGTAGTTGTAGGAATTGTTGGCAAACGAGTGCGTTGGCATATAGAGGGGCGGTGGAATTCTCATGGGCGAGCCATCATCATCGTATTCAGCGGGCAACAGCTCGGCGTTGGCATCGTTGAGGTCGTGGCGTCTGCCGGCACCAGGAGCAGCCGTATTGGCGCCGCATTGGCGCTCCTTGTTGGCCTCGGAGCCCAGCAGCATGCGAAGCTTGTGCTGCAGCAGATTGTTGTTGACGGCGGCAGTAGCGCTGTGTCGGTTTGAATGGGTTGCGTGCTGCTGGCCGTGGTGTCGGCCATGGTGATGGTGATGATGATGATGCATATACTGCTGTGACTGCTGTTGTGGAATCTGGGAAGCAGATCGATTGCCAGCAGCAGTGCTGCTGCCCATCATGGTCATGAAGCGTCTGTCTTCGATTTCCTCGTACGTGGGATTGTAGTGTCCGTCCTCTGGGCGTCGGCCGCGCTTGACGCCGACGCTGTTTGTTGTAGTGCCAGTGCCTACAGTGCGATATCCACTGGTCTGCTGCAGTCGCTCAAAGATTGCATCCGACTTGATATAGAAGGGTTTCGACTCGGCGAGAAGTTCCACGGCGGATTTGCGTTTGTTGTAGTGTCGTCCGCTGGTGTGATAGAGCATGGCAGCAGACGGATGCTGCTGGTGACTCCAGTAATTGCGACATGCGGCGGACGATTCGGGCAAAGCGGATGCGGATAAGGGTCGCTGCTGTGGAATAGAAGACATGGCGCCAGTTGTCGACATATAGAGCGGGCCATTATATTGATTATCTGCCACAGCCCCGCCATTTCCAAATATTTGCTGAGTTGTGGCATACAACGTCTGACTAGCTGTCCGTGAGTATTTGGGCATTGTGGTGTACATGGCGGGCGTGGAGCTGTGGTGTGCGTTGGGGGAGGCGCTGGAGCCGCCATTGCCCCCCACTAGTACATCGCTTTTGAAACTGGAGCGCTGTCGCGGACTGGAGCAACCATGCACCAACGCTGCCATTGTCGCCTGGAGAAATCGAACAACGTGCCCAAAATAGCCTTCAGTTTTCACACCTCCGAGGCGTCACCTGCTGCTGATTTTTTGCTGCCTCTCGACTGGGACATGCGCAGTGGTAGACGTGCTGCGTATACTAAAATTACAATACAATATTTTTCAGGTGTCTTCCATAAGTAAAAACACATTCTTAATCACTTATTGACAAGCACTTTGATTAACTGGAAACCCAATTCCTAAACTCAATTAAACAGACCCTAAAATACTTACAATTAATCCACATATATATGTATGTAGCTCTATCAAATATATTCACATTAACAAATTTCTGAACAAGTCTGCAGCAATATTCTTCTACTACACATTTTTTTATATTCACTATCACTTGTATTTGTTATAAACTAAACTTGATTTTAATTAAGCAAGGTACCATGTGTGTGCCAAATGAATAATTTGTAATATCATTATATTTTTTTTCACATTTCTAAGCTCTAACCATACAGTTCGTATGTCTGAAAACTTACCAGCAGGCCAACCGTCAAATTTCGTTTTCTATCCTATGTGATGGTATGTGAGAGTTGCAAGGACTACGCTTTTCTTGTGCCACTTTGAATAACAGATGTTGTTCCTGTTCCTGTTGTTCCCGCTCCCGAGACCTGCGCATGCGCACAACGAGCTTAGTAGCTAGTATACATATATAGTATAGAGTTCATGGACCCAACAATAGTTTCAAATAGGGAAAAATTTTAAATTAAAAAAAATTTAATTTAGAGCCAATTTCATTCAGGCAGCTCTTATACTATTTCTAATTAAGTTCGAAATTAGTTCCATCTTGAAGGGTCTAAGAAAGTTGGATATGACCGAATCCAAGCAATTGACGCTTTTTAGAACTCGCTAAGCTTTCACGAAATCCACCACACCCAAAGAAAGAGAAAGAGAACAGCGAATGAGCTTTTTGCCGCGCAATTAAATATAAGTCCAGCCATTGACATGGAGCGACCCAGTCAACGAGCAGTAGTTTTGATAAGCAGAGTGGAATATTTTTAAAGAGCTATAATTATCATGTCGGCTTCTAAAATTCCATACGTAAAACACAACAATGGCACGCAAATCCAATCAATTGGCCTGGGAACCTACACGGTGAGCTGAAACATGTTTAACTAGCATTGCAAATTATATTTGCATACATATGTATGAGTGTGTAGGAACATATAAAGGCTTATCGGACGACAGAGAAGTCGTTGATTAGGGGTACATTTCACTAATATTAAATGGTTCTATCAATTTATAGTCTCTGGGCGGCGACTGTGAGCGTGCGACCTTGCATGCCATAGATGTGGGCTACCGGCACATAGACACCGCCTTCTTCTATGAGAATGAAGCGGAAGTGGGAAATGCAGTGCGCCAGAAAATTAAGGAGGGTGTAATTAAACGTGAGGATATCTCCATAACCACAAAGGTGTGTCAATTAGCATAAATGCATATAAGCGACATAAACTAAATAACCTACATAACTACCCAGCTTTGGTGCCATTTTCATGAGCCGAACAGAGTTGAATATGCTTGCCGCAAGACATTGGAGAACTTCGGGCTGGACTATGTGGACCTTTATCTGATGCATTGGCCATACTCGTACGTTTATCGTAGCGACACTGACATGATGCCCACAGATTCAAAGGGCGAGGTCGAGCTTAGGTATAAATATATACTCAGTTGATTTTTAGCTGCTATTTTCACCGACAGCTCGAATTATTGTTCCTTGCAGTGACGTCGATTACCTGGACACGTGGCGCGCCATGGAAAAGCTCGTCGAACTGGGGCTAACCAAAAGTATTGGGGTGTCGAATTTCAATTCCGAGCAACTGACACGCCTGTTGGCCAACTGCAAAATCAAGCCCATACACAATCAAGTAAGCTGCATGCGGTTACAGTAATACATAAATAGCGTATGGCATTACTCTCACATTTTAGATCGAGTGTCATCCCGCACTGAATCAGAAGAAGCTTATTGCCTTGTGTAAAAAGCACGACATTGTTGTGACCGCCTACTGTCCATTAGGTCGACCGGATCCGGCAAACAAGAAGCCAAACTTTATTTATGATGCCAAGGTGCAGGCCATTGCTGATAAGCACAAGAAGTCTACGGCCCAAGTAGTGCTGCGCTATCTGGTGAGTAGTTTATCAGAGGGCATGTGGGTCGTTCGTGGTTAACGGATTCTTCCACTTCAGATCGAAATCGGGGCGGTGCCGCTACCAAAGTCATCCAACCCGAAGCGCATTGAAGAGAACTTGAATGTGTTTGATTTTCAATTGGACGCTGCTGATCATAAAGTGTTGGACACATATAACAGCGGCGAACGTTTAATTCAAATGGAACATGCTCGTAAGAGCAAGCACTACCCATTCAATATTGAATATTAAACAGCCACACCTGTAATCCAGAAACACATCATTGTTGATAAGTTACACATGTTTGTAAATATACATACATACATATGTACATATACTAAGCAACTGTGTGCACTTTTCCAGGCACTTGCTTAACACCGATATGGAAAAGTTCTAAACTTTTGCGAGAGAGCTTTAAGACGAAAATAAAAACGAAAGTTCTGAATTGCTGATCTTACTTGTTGAATCTCAAGGTGACCTTTAAAATATAGAAGGAATCCTTCATTTAACGCCCTTTAAAAAAAAAATCTTTGATAATCAAATTTTCGCGGAATAAACAGTAATGTAATTGTAGAGTGACCAGAAATACATGTTCCTATTGCAATACAAACATATAAAGTCAACACTTTTAGAAGTTTTTCTAGCGATGTGGCAACACAGCAATACAAACAGCTGTTCACGGCCCTGACTAAAAATCAAAACAAACTATTGGACGTAAATATGTTGCGTGTTGTTCTTGGATTTGCGGAGTTTGTGGCATGGTGTATGTGCACCTGCGATTGCAACCCCAAACGTGCCGCTGCCTTACAGTTGTTGCCGTTACATGCGGCATAGAGGGACTTAAACACGTGAGTAGCAGTAGACCAACCTTTGTATTTGCAAATGTCAAATACAATTGTGCAAAACAAATTTTTATTAATTTTTACACAAACATATATTTATATGTACTATATAGTATTGACGGTTATTACCCGACAGTGATTCATTAAATAGAACAATATGTACTCAGTTGGAAACGACAATAACAAAAACATCGACGTTATTGTGTTTAATATTAAAGTGTAAGCTGCAACGCCGTTATCCGTCCCGATCGATGCCTCACTGCCACATAATGGTTTATATGCGAATTGTATTAACAACTTTGGTTACAATAACGTGCTTGCTGGGCGACAATTTCTTAGAGCTGACGCAGCACCCACTGCTAAAGGCTTTGGCCGACAATGCCACCCATGCTGCAATCGGTGCCTTGACGGGCATTGCATTTGCAATGCAGTTCTATGAGCGCACTACACAACTATTTGGTTGGCTATTGATTTTCACATGCTTTGTTGTGTCATCGTTCATCGATTTGGATCACTTTGTGGAGGCGCGTTCGCTGTATTTGGAGGTAATTGCCGAAATCTCGCAGAACTATACAAACGATGTTTCATATTTTGATTGTTACTTTGCAGGATGCCACCAATTTGTCCCGTCGGCCGTTTCTACACTGCTCCAGTATAGTGGTGGTTATGTTGATATTTTACATTTGCACCGCGTGCCTCAATTATTTCCGCACCAGCCTAATGCTGGGCGCGCTGCTTTGTGCCTTCATTACTCATCACACACGGGACGCAGTACGTCGCGGCTTTTGGTTCTGCCCCTTCGGGCACACTTCGCCCTTGCCGCACACCGCTTACATACTGGGCATAATTGTAACGCCTCATCTGTTGGCCTACATTCATGAAATTTGTCGCAGCCCTTTGCTACTCAACTTTTTGGGTCAATACATTAAGCTAAGCGAGTGCAATTATCGTAGCAGCGGCGGGGGTTATCGCTATTTACAGGTATAAGGAAACATACATATGTATAATGTGATAGGATCGTAAACTAATGAAACTTTTACAAAAATCATTCAAATTGAAACTTTGCTTTTAGGCTTCAAGCGCATACAATTAGCTTTAAAATTCTAACCAAACAACTAAAATACTTCCACATTACAGGATTCAATTTTAATGAATATAAAGTTTTTCTAGTAATTATGGGCATTTTATTAAACTATACTATTTTTTTTTTGTACTAGAATCATGAACACAGATAATATCCGAATTTGTGATATTTATAGCATAAGCCTATAGTGTAGTAAACTTGATATGTAATACTAATCTAGTGTAACGCATAGCGCACAATTAATGAACCTTTCCACTTCCAACTTCAATAACAATAATAATAATAATAATATGTAGTAACAACAATAAGCTGGCCAAAGGGAAACTAGATGTAGTTAAGAAAATTTCGCTAATTACAATTTATAATAAAATGCAACTACACATTGCCCTCAAAAGGGACTATTAAAGAAACTACTGTGAACCTTTACCTCAGGGTCAAGCTAATCGCTATTGATTTCTTTTTTTACAGCTTTGTTTTCATTCTTTTCTGATGCGTGGTTGTAGCATTTTTACATGTTTTATGCGCCATCAGTTGGAATTTTCTTACCACTTGCATAGGATGTTTATGTTTCAGTTGAAAACATTTTGCCATATATACATAAGTAGTGCATGTTTCAATTGCATTAATACGACCGGTCAACTACATACATATATGTATGTGCGTTTGAAAAAGAAGAACAAATGACATCAGGAAATATTTTGTAAAAATATACATCTCTATTTTTATTTTGATAATTCTCTATAAAAGTGTTCGTAGTATCCACAACAAATGAAGATAAAGTCAGCAAAAAAGAAAGTAAAAACGCAAAATGAAGCATCTGTGAATACCCTGTAATCAGTGGGCGTATAAATTGTTTTTATTACGTCATTTCTGCGATCGCACTTTAAAATTCTTCACTCTAAGAGGTTTTATTATGAGATAACTAGCGACTGTTAAATGCCATGTGATAAGAAATGAAATTGAGAATTACCTTCGTTATACATATGAATGGAATATGCTTGTAATTGTGCTTATAATTATGTTAAAAGTGTAGTGTAGTGGAAGTTTCAGTTCATCAAGATATCATAACACTTCTGGTATTAGATATATACTCGTATATAATATATACACCTAATTCTGTTTTTACACGGTTTTCATTTAACACGGTGGTTGCACGACGGTTTTTTTTAACATGACTTTTTCTAAAACCATTTTACCGTGTAAAAGCAGAATTAGGTGTACATATATTTCCCTCCTTCCTCGAGCTTAGGATCATCTGAAATTTGGTGACTAATGCTTGCAGTTTCTTTCCGAGATACTTACATTTTAAACAGCTTCGTTGACTTCACAATAGTACTTAAGGAATATAACTTTGCGTACCTTGAACTTCTTGAATGGGCGAGTGGAACTTATATCGTATGTGCCTCTCAATTTCTGATACAAATCCTTCAGTTAACTCAGTGTACCCGTTTACTATTTTATGTGTAGTGTATTAAATCATTGTGCGCTTTAATTGGAACTTCTAAATATACACAAATTATTTTTAGATATGATAGATATAAAGAATATTCAACATTTAGATCGTTGTCCCATTCCAGTGAAAAATGTTTGAAAAGCAAAAACATTTTTTACAACATTTTCCTACGTTTTTCAATGGAATTGAAATTTTATTAGTGGACGTAGTAAATATTCAATTGAAATGAAATTCATGTGGGAAAAATGTCCATTAAATTGTGAGACTGATAGAACCGACAGACCATTACCAGTGGCGTGCACCTCCACACCCAGCCACGCACACACCCACACAGACAGACAGACCACTGGCCACCGCCACCCACAACAGACATTGGGTTGACAGTCCCGAGAATTGTTCTCAAATCATTTGCGCTTGGTCGCGCCGATGTGGCTGTCGTCGCTATTTTCCGTGATCGTTGGATCTTCGTCTGTGCATTTTATTTATGTGGCGTTTTTAATGCGCGCGTCGCCTCTTTGGTCGAATAAAAATGTTATTATGAGACATCCGACAACTGAATGCTGAGAGTCTTACACTTGGGGCCCCAGTTCAAAAAGTGTCTGCGAGATAAGTAGAAGGGTCTGAACGCTCCTAATTATCCGTGCCGTGTCGCGTGTATCGTTAAAACGTGTCCAATTATATTTATCAAAATTGCGGAACAAGAGGATAATAGTTTCAATCCCTTCGCTGTAAGTGTAGTTAGTTGGAACAAGAGCACGACCCAAAATATCATTAGTGGATGTCACAGAAACACAATCCAAACATTTTGCTCCATTTCTGTTTAATAACAAATTCACGAGTGCGATAAAATGGAACATAAGTATGGAGTAAAGTTGTAGTGTCTTCTGAGTTCTTTTTATATATTTCAGGCTTCAGGTATAATTTTAATTAAATTTTGATTCAAAATATTTAATTAAAATATTAATTATAATTTATATATTGATCAAATTATTTCTTAACTTACTTAAAATTGAATCAGATAAAACTTATTATTGTATTAATTCTTTGAGGCAAACTAGGAACCTCTATTAACAAATTGAATAGCTTATATGTACTATACTATATATGTATAGATTATTAAACAAAAAATCAATCAAAAGCTATATCGGAAATAAGGAATGGTTAAATTTTAGATTTGAAATAAAGAGTCTAAATAGTTGGCATGACCATTAAATTTTTTACGACTACATAATTTTCCAAAACAGCAATTAAAAGTTTCTGTGACAATCAACTAATTCTATATCATTAGTGGCGAGTTTTGTTCGACTGTTTCCTTGTTTTTCAATTTACATTCAAATATTTAACCTTGCCTAATGTCACGCTTCGTTAGCGAACAGCAGCCACAATTAGTTAAATTAGCTTAATAACAAGAGCTTATATTACGAGTATGCCCAAATTTGTGTGAATACCAATCATGTACATATACATACATGATATATGTCTGCTTGTACAAATTTCATTGTTGTTTACATTTGTAATGTTCAGCATTTCTCATCTAGATGCTATCTGCTATCATTTATCAAAACCTCATATAAAAATATTCATGTTCTGTGAAGAAATATCTTCTCACAGTCAATTTCCAAATAATTTATTTTCGTTCTTGACTTTTAAGAACAGCCTATATGTAAATACACTCGTTAGTTCCAAAAAGAATGCCCCTCTTTGCACAATTCCACACCACGAATTTCATAATATTTATCTAACGTGATCATAAGATGTACACAAAATATTTAAGAACACATATGTATGGCCATATGTATATTTATGGATATATAGCCAGCTATACTAGCAGCCGCCGCAATTTGTAAAATGTTCAAAAACATACGCTGTAAATATTTACATTAGAAAATATTACAAGCGGCAACAAAATCAAAATGCAGAGAATTGCAAAGAGCAAGCCTTGATAGCGCATCAATGGCAACTTTTGCTGCATTTCATTCTTCGTAGTATATAGGTGTATTCTCTTAAAGTAAAGATATAAGTACGGATACATACATACTTATGTACATATATAAACAATAATTTGTTTTGGCATTTAACTCAGGATGTCAAAGCTGTTGCCCAAACGTGCAGCACGTCAATACTTTTAAAAACTTTTCCCTCAAATAAATATACCCATATGTACATACTTACATACGCAGCTTCTACCGATATTTTCTATATTAAATAAATCAACTAGCAGGTCTTTCCCGTCTTTGAAGGGCTTAGTATTTTTGCTTACAATTATAAGTTTATTTCAAATGTGATATTTCTCTTCCGGTACTCTCTAAAGTTTCTAAAGAAACTGCCAATAACAAATTACTTATACAGGGTGCGCCATCTTTTATGTCGGTATGTAAATATTGAATAACTTTGTCATTATTGACATTGATTGACTTGAGTAGACCAGTGTTGAAAACCTCAGTTCAAGAAATTGTACAGAACCAAATTAAATAAAAATATCTCATACTTGAAAATCGGTTGTTTATTTTCAAAGATATTCAATGTTTACATACCGACATAAAAGATGGCGTATATATTCCGATATATATGTATATAGAATAATATATACTATACTCTCGCACTTTCTGATTAAATACAAATATTAAATTGTGAAATTTCTGGAAAATTAAATAACAATATTGTAAAATTAAATAGTGAAATTTCTGAAAAATTTAATAAAAATATTGTTGGCTCCCTTCTCTGCGATTCTCAAGTACCTAAGCGCTGGCAAATCCAGAATTAAAATGTGAAATTTCTGAAAAATTAAATAATAATATTGTGGAATTAAATAGTGAAATTTCTGATACATTAAATCAAAATACACGATACACGTTCTATTTACATATATAGGGACTGTGCGTTGATTGCACATACTAACATACATATATACATTCATACATAAAATAGTTTCTGTATTCCAATTTTCAACAAAAATCCATGCCCCAATGAAAACAAAATAAAGTCCCAATGAAAAAAATGGGTTGAAAATGCAACTCTATCATACAAACTACAACTACATACATACATACATATGTGCATAAATACATACGTATATGTATCGAATGTGACATTGAGGGCAATTAGTTTCTAGAATTAAAAACGGTTTAATTTGCCGATATACATATTTATGAACAATGTACATACAATCCTCATTCTTAAGGCTCTAACAAATTTACAGACAAAACAAAATAAAGCATACCCTTGCAATTTTTAATGAAAGATTTAATAGATTTTTTAAATTAATTTTATTGATTAACGAGCTTTCCAAAATAGTACCTCTCGGTTATTATTATAATGTTCATTAAAATCATTTTTATTATTCATTTCATAATTTTAGAATATAATGTTCTAAAATAATTGCAACTTTTTATCATTTACAAAAAGAAAATGGTCACAAAAATGTTCAGTAATTTAATAATAATAGATATATTAACGTCTCTTAAATACAAATTCAACTGATGTACATGAAATAATAACACATGTAAGGCAATAAAGAGGTATTGAGAAGAAAAAAACAAATGACAAAACAAACAAAATAAACAAAGGCGGTATTGTCCAAAGCCCAAAGTTTGCATTTCTTTTGGCCCAGCCAGCTCATATAGCTCGATTCTGTTCGGAGAAGTGTCATTGATAACACTTGCGAATGAGATGGAGGATATAAAGAGTTCAAAGCACCGCTCCCAATGCCTTGGATTGGGTCTGTCTGTTCATTTGCATGCAAAACAGATGCGGCAAGCAATTGACATTGCGGCGGACAATGTACGTATTTGTTTCAATTGAAATGGCAAGGAAATTCCAACTAAATAATATTTGCTATACTTGTACACATCTGTATGTACAAGCACATACTTAGAAGTATTAAATTGCTGTCGAGTAAAACTGTTGCATTTTGTCGAAATAATGAGGCAACAATGTGACGCATGATTCATTAG